CGACGCACGACGCGCCCTTCCCCGGGGCGACGCCGCTGCCGCCATGTTTGTTGAGGGCGCGCGGGCCTTGCCAGTGAGCCGCCATCTTTGTGGTTGGCGTTGCCCGACCCAGCGTGACGCCGGCGGCGCCATCTTTGTGGCGGGCAGTGCCCGGTTCTCGGGACCGGAGACGGGGGGGCAGCGCAGGGGGGATTTTTTTGGGGGTAGAGGGGTCACTCACCCCGTCATTTAACACCCCCGCGGCTTCCTGGGGTGCAGCCACTCCCTCAGAGTCCTCTAGAGCCCTCCAGCCGCCTGCCCCCCTTCGAGGTGGGCACCCCCCACTGAGAAATTTGGGAGGACAATGAGTTTTTTGGAGTGCTCGCCCCCACTCCGAAAAGCGTGTGTCCCCCAAAAAGCGTGTTCACTAAGTGCAAAACACACACACACCCTGGGCTTTGCACCCCTTTTCCCACGGGGGTCCCGAGCGGGTTCCAACATCCCCACGCACCTCATCCATCACATTTTTGGGGATGGATGGGGGGGGTTGCGGCACAACCGGGACACCCCCCGCATCCCCCAGCCCCAAAAGCGGGAGGGTACAGGCAGAACCTCCCCACCACCCACCCCCAATGTGCACCCACATCCCGCTCTGCCTCCATCACCTGACGCCGCACGCGTCCCTCCATCCCATTGGCAGAACCGGGAGGCTTTTCCTTCCTCCCCCTTTTTCTCCCAGCTCCTTGGATATCTATTTTTCCCCTTTTTTTTTTTTTTTTCTCCCCTCTTCTCTCCCTCCTCTGGAGGGTGTTTGCTATTTCCGAGCTGGCTGGGAGGATCCCAGTCGCATCAGCCGCAGGCAGCGACGCGGCACCGCCGGGTACCACCGCGATCCCACCGGCATCCTCCGTCCTTCCCGCCTGGATCAGCCCCGGCGGGGCTCCCTGTCCTGCCGCCCCTTCCATTCTCTCACCCTGCCGCTCCACCGGCATCCCACCGTGTCCCGGCAGCCCCCCGGCACGGCCAGGTAAGGGCCCCACCGGCACCGGGACACCCGGAGCAGCCGCCAGATCCCGGTGGCGTCGGGACAACATCCCAATGGCATCGCTGAGGGATGCCCGGGGGGCACAGGGATATGGGGGGGCAGGTGGGGCGCGGGGACGTGGAAGGCTCGCTGAGGGCTTTTTGAGGGGCACGGGGTGTTGGGGACACGGGGACGCGGTGACACGATCCGGCTGGAGCAATCCCGGTGCGGAATTCCTGCGCCACCGCCGGGCACGGGAATGGGGCAGCGAGGTGGCACCTTGTCCCCAGCGCGGTGACCTTCTGCCGTGCCCGAGGGTTTGGCGGGGGGGCGGATTTGTTGGTTGACACCCTATTTGGGGTGGCTTGGGGGTGTTGAGCGGGGCTGGGGGTGACCCCCGGCTCTGCGCAGATGGAGGGGGGAGACGCTGGGTGGCCGTGGGTGGCCGTGGGTGGCCGAGTGACAGGGACACTCACGGATGAGCCCGGCGTGGGTGGCCGTGGGCACGCGGGGAGCGGGGGGGGGGGGCGCTGGGTACATCGGGCACGGCTGCCCCCGCACCGATCCGGGGGTACCGGGGCGCAGGGTTGGGGGGCACCCACCCCCTCAACCCCCTCTGAGCATCACCCCCTTCCCGCGTCACGGGTGTCACCGCGTGTCCCCCACCCCCCAGAGCGGGTCCCTCTGGGGGGAAACTGAGGCACGGGCCAGGGCAAAAAGGCGGATCCAGCTTTTCCAGTGCCCGCGTCCAACCCTCCCCTCTCTCCCAGCACTCCCTCGGCTCCCCTTGTTTTTCTTTCCCCACCCCGGGTGTTGAGCAAACCCCGAAACACCCGCTGGCGTCGCGCCGGGGCCCCGCGGCACCCGGGGGAGCGGCCGGGGCCCCCGCACCCGACCGGGCTTGTTCCCCGGCGTCCCGCTGCCTGCTCCTGCCTGCGCGCTGCCTATTCCTGGCTGCCGGCCGCTTTTCCACCCCCCCGGTGCCATCTGCTCCGCCGCGGGGGGAGCGGCCCCGGCAGCTGCCGACGTGGGCAGCTCGGGGGGCTGCTCGGCAACCCCCCCAAAACCCGCGCGGTGCCCGCAGGAGCTCAGCCCCTCCGGCCATGGAGCTGCTCTCCACCCCCAAGAACATCGAGATCAACAACATCACCTGCGACTCCTTCCGCATCTCCTGGGCCATGGAGAAGGGGGACCTGGAGAGGGTCACTCACTACTTCATCGACCTCAACAAGAAGGAGAACAAGAATTCCAACAAGTTCAAGCACCGGGTGAGCCCGGGGAGTGGGGGGGGGGATGTGGGACCCCCTGTCCGGGGTGAGGAGATGGGGTTGGTGAGAGGGAACTGGCTTTTAACTCACTCCCACGCTGATTGGGGTCATTCCCCACTCTGGACACGCTGGTGGAGGGCACTGGGATGGGGATCAGGGGGTGACGGACCCCCTTCCCAAGCCCCCGCGGGGGAGCAGAGCCACAAACCTCTCCCACTCCCCCTCCCCGCGCTGCGAGTCACTAATTCGGGGCCGTTTTTAGCAGCGCCGTTGCCACGGTGATGCTATTTAATGTTTAACATTATTTTTTTCTCTCCTCCCCAATAATAAGGGGTGGGGGGGTGGGATATTTTCTTTCCCCCTCTGCCTCCCGACTTCAGCATCCGCCGTTGCCACAGAAACGGCTCTGCACTGCGGAGCTGCTCCGTGGCCTATTGACACCGCGAGATGCCACCGGGAGCGGGGGGTCCCCGAGACCCCCGCCCTCCGTGGGGGGGACCCTGCGCCCCCATCGCTGCGTGGGGACGGGGAGGGAGGGACAGAGCTGGGGGGCAGCAGGAGACGTGTCACCGCGGCGTTTTGGGTACCCCGAGGTGGATGTTTTGGGGGGGTTCGGTCCCTGGCACCATCCCCCGGGCGCGGGGCGGGATTTGGGGCGGTGCGATGCTGTCCCGCCTGACCTTCGCCCCCCGGCACAGGATGTCCCCACCAAGCTGGTGGCCAAGGCGGTGCCGCTGCCCATGACGGTGCGGGGGCACTGGTTCCTGAGCCCCCGCACCGAGTACAGCGTGGCCGTGCAAACGGCCGTCAAACAGAGCGACGGGGAGTACCTGGTGTCCGGCTGGAGCGAAACCGTGGAGTTCTGCACCGGGGGTGAGCGGGACACGGGCGGCCCGGGGCCGGGAGGGAAGATGGGGGCGATCCCCGGAGCCGGGAGGAGAACGGGGACAGTGCTGGGAGCTGGGAAGAGGAGGAGGAGGAGGAGGACACAGGCAATGCCCGGAGCTAGGAGGAGGATGGGGGCCACCCGGGAGCTGGGAGGAGGATGGGGGCGATCCCAGGAGCCGGGAGCTGGGAGGAGAACGGGGGCAATTCTGGGAGCCGGGAGCCAGGAGGGAGGACGGGGAAGGCTTGGAATTGGGAAGATGGGGAGGACGGGGACGACGCTGGGAGCTGCGAGCTAGAAGGAGGATGGGGGCAATGCTGGGAGCCAGAAGCAAGGAGGGAGTAAGGGAGCAATGCTGGGAGCCGGGAGAGAGGAGGGGATTAATGCCTGGAGTTGAGAACCAGGACAGAGGATAGGGGCCTTCCCAGGAACCGGGAGGTGGGAGGAGGATGGGGTCAATGCTGGGGGTCAGGAACCGAGAGGGAGGACAGGGACGATCCTGGGAGCTCGGAGGAGAACGGGATCAATACTGAGAGCCTGGAGCTGGGAGGAGGATGGGGTTGATGCTGGGAGCTGGGAGGCAGGAGGAGGACGGGGGCAATGCTGGGCTGCAGGAGCCCGGAGGAGGACGGGGGCGATGCCGGGAGCTGGCACAAGCCGGGCCGGTTGGAGCGGCAGCTGATGAGTGGGAGGTGCGGGGAGCTGCGGGCAGGGAAGGGCTGCCGGAGGGGGATGGAGACGCCCTGATGTCCCCATCGCTGCCCCCAGACTATGCCAAGGAGCACCTGGCCCAGCTGCAGGAGAAGGCAGAGCTGATCGCCGGCCGCATGCTGCGCTTCTCCGTCTTCTACCGCAACCAGCACAAGGAGTATTTCCAGCACGTCAGGTACCCCCAGCCCCCATTCCCCACTCCCCTCACTCCCAGGGCGCGCCCCCTGACCCTGCCTGTGCCTGTCTGTGTGTCCCTCCTCCTCCTCCTCCTCCTCCTCCTCACGCCAGGATGCACTGCGGGAACGTGATGAAGCCGTCGCTGAAGGACAACAGCGGGAGCCACGGCTCCCCCACCAGCGGGATGCTGCACGGCATCTTCTTCAGCTGCAACACCGAGTTCAACACCGGGCAGCCCCCCCAGGACTCGCCCTACGGCCGCTACCGCTTCCAAATCCCGGCCCAGCGCCTCTTCAACCCCAACACCAACCTCTACTTCGCGGACTTCTACTGCATGTACACCGCCTACCACTACGTCGTGCTGGTCCTGGCGCCCAAGGGCTCCTCCGGGGATCTCTTCTGCCGGGAGCGCCTCCCCCAGCTGGACATTTCCTCCAACAAGTTCCTGACGTGCTGCGTGGAGGAGGGCGAGCTGGTGTACCGCCATGCCCAGGACAGCATCCTGGAGGTCATATACACGGAGCCCGTGGACCTCGCCCTGGGCGTGCTGGGGGAGATCAGCGGCCACCAGCTCATGAGCCTCTCCACCGCCAACGCCAAAAAGGACCCCAGCTGCAAGACGTGCAACATCAGCGTGGGGCGTTAAAGGGGGGAGGAGGAGGAGGAGGAGGAGGAGGAGGCGGGCAGGGCCGGGCAGGGGGACGGGCGCCTGCCCTGGGGGCTTCTCCCACGGACACTGGTGGGCAGAGGACATGGGTGGGCACGAGGAAGGAGCTGGCGGGATGCTTGCCAGGCAGGGAGGAGGAGCCCACCACGCTGCTCTGCGCCCCGAGGGAAGAAGCCTTCATCTCCTGGACTGGCCGACTGGCATCACCCTCGCTGGCGTGAGCCCCGCGCTCTGCCCTATTCTGCGGGACCCCCTTCCCCTCCGGTGTCCCCTGCATCCCCCCCGACCCCAGGTTTGTGCAGCTCCCGGGGAGCCCCGGTCCTGCCAACCGGGACTGGGGCTCCCTGGCCACCCCAGGGGGTTCAGTGGAGAGGCTGGAAGCGCCCCCCGGTTTTGGGCTGCTCCCGGGGACAGCGGGGCGCTCAGACAGGGACCCCCCCGCTCCCGGGGGGCCGCAGCGGTGTGGGGGACCCCTCGTGCTGTCCCTCTCTGCTCTGCCCAAACCGTGGCCCCAGAGGCAGCCGGAGGAGCTGGGGAAGAGGGGAGTGGAGCTGAGCCCCCCCACCCCGTGCCCCCCCACCCCGCTGCCCCCCGCATGAGCCGTCGGCAGCATGGCGCTTGCGTGCGGCCCCCCCCCCGGGGCGCCCACCCCTTATCCCCCCCCGCGGGGTGCCCACCCCCCCCAATCTCTGTGTACCCCCTGCACGCTGTAGAACAACAACTCCCCCCCCCGTCCCCCGAGCATCCCTGTGCTGTGCTGGAGGTGTTTCAATAAACTCTGTGCGGTCGCCACCGGGGCCGTGTCACGCGCCTCTGTGCCCCACTGGGACCCCGGGCAGTGGCTCCAGACCCCCCCCCCCGCAAATTCCAGCTCGGGGAAAGGAGGGATGGGACTGGGAGGGGACAAGGTGCTGAGGCAGCCACGGGTAACCCTCCTGCCCTCGTCGGCTTGTAGATCCACAGGAAAGTTTGGGGTGGAAGGAGATCATCCAGTCCAGCCCCCCTGCCCAGGCGGGGTCACCTGGAGCAGGTGGGGGCACATCCAGGTGGGTTTGGAATGTCTCCAGAGAGGGAGACTCCACACCCTCCTTGGGCAGCTGTTCCAGGGCTCCGCCACCCTCAAGGGAAAGAAGTTCTTCCTCACGTTGTGGTTCAGTTTGTGGCCTTGTCCCATCACTGGGCACCACTGGGAAGAGTCTGACACCATCCTCTGGCATCCCTCGGAGAGATATTTGTGGTTAAGTTTATGGGCCATCGCTCCTTGTCCTGTCGCTGAAAAGCTGAAACACTCCCCGAATTCGGTGCCCTCTTTCCATCATTGGGACTGAAAACCCCTCTGGATGCAAACCCGCTGCCATTCCTCCTGGAAACAGCCACTCCAGAGCATCCCAGCCCCATCCTGACACCCTCACACACACACCCTGTGCCGGCAGGGAGCTCGGGATGGAGGGAGGGGAGGCACGAGGGAGCACGCGGTGGGCGCGGGGGCCGTGTCACAGCCCACCTCCCATCTGCCACCGGCACAGGGACGCGCCGGAGCACGAGGTGGGCACGGCACGAGGTGGGCACAGCACGAGGTGGGCACGGCACGTGGCACCCACCCACCCACACTGGGGTGCTGCTGGGGGGGTGAGATACGGCGTGTGTGTGTGGGGGAGAAACACTTGCCTGCAGAGTCCTGGGGGAGTGAGGGGGCTCTGACAGACCCCATCACCCGTCACAGTGATCCCACCATCCCTGGGACAAGGTCCGGCTGCTCCTTCAGGGTTGCTGGCTCTGCTCCATCAGAGCCCTGAGCGTGGGGGTCCACCCCGAGGATGGGTGCTGGGGGCTCTCCCCTTGCTATTCCAGCCCCATTTTTTTGGATGCCGTTTTCCTGGGGCGGAAGCAAAGAGGCCGGGGCCGCCCCGCTCCAAGTACAAGGGTATTTATTTCATGGGTACAAGAGAGAGACAGCACCTTGTGTGTGTTTTGGGCTCTTCCCGGTTACTGGTTTGTACATTCAGAGCTTCGGCCGGGGCAGGGAAGGGCGGCAGGTCCCGCTCAGCCCCCCCCAGCACTGGGGTGGGTGGTTGCCAGTGGGGACCCCCCCCACCCCGTGCCCCCCGTGCCGTGGGCGCCCGAGCCCCGGCGCCCCGTGCGAGCGTGTCTTGAGTGCTGAGGTTGGCTGTGTGCTCCTCCTCCGTGCAGTCTGTGCGGGGCAGCAGCGCTCCCCGCCTTCCTCCCTGCCCTCCTCCTCCTCCTCCTCCTCCTCCTCCCCTGCCCGCGGGGGGGGGCCGGGACCCCCGGCCCTCATTTCCTCGTGTGCAGCGTGTCCTGGAACTTGGTGCTGGTGTAGCGAAGGTGGAAACCCTTCTTGTTGATGGTGTCGTCCGAGTGGAAGCGGATCATCACGGAGTCTCCGGCCGAGTAGATCTCCTCGGGGGGCTGCGGGGGCGAGGGAGGGGGGTGCTCAGATCCATGGGCATTCCCGGGATGAGTGTGCACAGTGGGAGGGAAGGGATTTGCAATGGGAAGGGTGCAAATCGTCACACCACCCCGAATTCCCACGGGGATTTCTCCGCGCTGCTCTGGCTCGGCCTCACCCATCACCCTGCACCCTCACACTGCTCTAACCTTCCCTAATCCCAACCCTAACGCTAATCCAACCCCACGCCACGTCCCCCTTCCTCCCCAGCTCACCCCGGAGCCGCAGAAGCGGCCGAGGCGCGGGGCCGTCCCGTCGTAGCCGTCGAAGAGCTCCATGTAGTCGTATCCGCAGTCGGCTTCCTCCTCGATCTCAAAGGTCTGGAAGATGAGCTCCACGCCGAACCCCTCCTCCGCCATGATCACCCACTCGCAGTCCGAGCCCCCCGGGTAGTTGTTGTCCCCGAATTGTGCGTGGGAATACAAGTCCTTGGTCTTCACCTCGGCGCGGACCTGGCCCCCGCACACTGGGGGACAAGCCGGGGTTTAGGGGCAGCCACGCTCTCCCCACGCCCCACGGCCACATCTCCCAGCCCCGCGGCGCTACCTGTGGTGTGGGTGGCCTCGAATCCCTTCTTCTGGACGGAGTTGTCGGAGACAAACTTGAGGAACATCTTGTTGCCCGAGGAGACGATGGGCTCGGGCTCCTTGGCCCCGCAGAAGCGGCCGAGCGCCGGGGCCTTGGCGTCCCTCCCATCGTAGATCTCCAGGTGGTCATAGGCACATTCCTGCTGCGCCTCCACGTCCAGCTCCGAGAAGGTCTGTGGGAGGTGACGGATGGAGTTGTCGGCGCTCAGTGGGGCTCGGTGGAGGGCACCCCAGCACTTCCCACCCCCCAGTCCCTACCAGCTTGATGCGGTGCCCCGGCGTGGTGCTGATGGCCCAGGTGCACTCCTTCTTACTGGGGTATTTGTCGGGCCAGTTGGGGCTGGTGATGGTCCCGGAGATGGATGTCACCTTGTGGTCACAGCCGGCTGCCAGGACAACAGGAAGGGTCACAGATGCACGGAATGGGAGCATCCCACAGGGACGGGGGGCGGGATGGACCCACCTTCCTTGCAGTCGTGCTTGTTGTCGTGCAGCACGAAGCCGCTGCGGCACTGGCACTCGTAGCTGCCGAAGGAGTTGAGGCACTCGTGCTGGCAGCCCCCGTTGTTCTTGGAGCACTCATCCTTGTCTGGGAGAGAGCAGAGGCATCACTGAGCGGGGTGGGAAAACCCTGGAGTGGGGTATTCCAGCCTGGCACAGCGCCCTGGCCCCCCAGCCCCACGCCCTCCGCCGAGCACCCAGCCAAGCAAGCGCCCACGGCCAGCAGCAAGCAGAGCTCCAGCGTCCTGCTCCCACATCCAGCCCCATCCAGGGGCGGGATGGGTCCTCCTCTCCCGTGGGCTCACCCAGGGGTGCCACCATTACCTGCTGCCGGGACGGATGGGGTGAGGGGGGGAGGCAGAAAAACACACAGTGACAACCAAAGGTGCACAAGAAAAGACCAGGACGCGGGAGGTCCCTCTTTACTCATCGATAGGAAATGTCACAGACACGGTAAAAATCGGAGGGGTTGAGGGGGGGAAGAAAAAAAACCAAGGTCAGCTGGTAAACGACAAAAAAACAAGGGGATGGGGTGTTTGGAAATAAAAAAAAAAAGTAAAAAAACGTAAAAAAAAATTAAAAATAAGGTCAACAACCAGTTCTGTCAAGCAAAAGGCTGCCGGGGGGCCGGCGGCACGGCTCGGCTCGGTCCCGCCGTGCTCCCGCACGGCTCCGGGGCCGCGGCGTTCCTGAGAAAGATGGAGAGGGTGGAGCGGCTCAGGAGGGGCCCCGCAGCCGCTTCTGCAGGCGGAACTTCAGGCCGGGCGGGCGAGATTTCGGGGGCTGCAGCTGCTGCTTCTTCTCTGCAAAGAGAGAGGGAGAGAAGGGGGGGAGCGATGGGGGCGCGGGGGCGGAGGGGGGCGCGGGGTGGGGGGGTCATGCGGAGCGGCAGCCGGGGAAGCAGCAGCGAGGGGGACACCCCGGGAGCCCCCTCGGCAGCCCGGGGCGAGCGGCTCTGCGGGGAGGAAGAGGAGGAGGAGGAGGAGGAGGAGGCGCGGGGCTGGCTCTGGGAGGATGAGGGTGGGCTTTGCGTGGGTTCCTGGGGGTGTCCAGTCTGGGAATGGCAGTGGAGGGGTTCGGGATCACCCCTCGCTGGCTGAGTTGACCTCCCATCCCACCACCTTCCCGGGGTCCCTGTCGCCGATGTCTCAGCACCCCTCGAGCCCCCGAGATGCTCCACATCCCATTTGTTTCCCCCTCGCTCCCCCTCCCCGCGGGGTGGTGGTTTGGGGAGTGGGAACCAGCAGCAAGCGGCACCAGCCCCCCCCAGCATCCCTCTGTGCCGGGGAGGAGAGGAGCATCCCTCCTGGAGCCAGCAGCGAGGGGGGCCCTGCCCCAGCCCCCCCCGGAGGCCGTAACCTGACAGTCTCCTACGTCTGAGGGAGGAAGCGAGGCGGGAAGGCCCGTTTGGGGATGGGAAGGGGCTTCTGGGCTCAGAGCAGCTCCAGCACCGGGGGAGGGAGGGAGCCTGGGCGGGCGAGACAAGAGCGAGAGGAGAGTTGGCAGCGGAAAGAAGCCCACCGGGTCGGTGTCTTTAGCAATCCTTTATTCCAACCAGTTTGCTCGCCCGGCATCGCCCGTGCGCTCACCACCGCTCTCCCCCGCGGGCATCCCACGGGCCCCGGGCTGCTCCCGCAGCCCCCCCGGGCGCCTCTCCCCCCGCTGCGGAGACCCCCCTGCGCCGGGGCTGGGCCGAGAGCCGGGGGCACTCACCTGGGTGCCGACACCGTGGCGGATTCCCGGGCGGACGCTTCCTTACGCGCGGAGCCGACGGAGCCGGCTCCTGCCTCCTGGAGCCCCGGCCCGCGAGGAGGAGGAGGAGGAGGAAGGGGCCATGTCTTCACCGGGGGAAAACAGGCGCCCAGGCTGCCCTTGGCACCGAGGGACGAGGCTCATCCAGAGCGCAAGGACCCTCCGCGGCTAAAAAGGCGCCGCACGGGAGATGTTTTGCCCCGGGGATGGCCGGGAGCGACCCCGGGGGACCGGAGGAGGGGCCCCGGCGTGGCCGAGTCCTCCAGGGTGGTCCTGCTGCTGGGAAAGCCCGAGACCTGGGTGCGGAGAGGTGGAGGAGAGGGTTTGGTGGGCTGGGGTTGGGGCAGCCCCCACGGGATCACCGCGCATCCCGGTGGGATGAGGAGAAGGAGGGAAAAGGGGAGAGGGGAGGAGCCCGAAGCGCGGTGCGGGGGACACTCACCCGGCTGTCCCGTGGTCCCGCTCGGCCACCGGGCTTCCCCGAGGAATCACTTTGTGGAGGGTGCCGGCTCCCGACGGCTGGGCCCCCTGGGCCGCCCTACTTGCCTTGGTTTTAATTAAACAAATAAAGCAAAGACACTCGACCCCCCGCTCCGGGGAGCCCCGGGGAGCCCCGGGGGATGCCGGTCCCGCTGCTCCCGCAGCCAGGTGGCCACACTGCCCCACAAAAACGGCCTTGACGAGGCCAAAATGCAGCAGGAGGGGTCCGGGAGGTGCTGCCAGTCGCTCAAGGCCGGGATGGTGTCCAGGGCACCGTGCCACACCGAGGGGACCCTCTCTTACACGAGGTCCCCATGGCAGCCCCCAGCCCTGAGTGATGCTCGGCTGCATCCAGCGTTCTGTTCCAGGTGCCCATCCCTACCCCCCTGAGACCCATCCAAAGGTGACACCACCTCCTGGAGGGGTGGCCCGGGAGAGGAGGGCGGACCGTGGAGCAGGCAGGGATAGGCAGGTAATGGTTTTTGGGAGGAGGGAATTGCCCCAGAGAGCTGAGATACCGATCCCGGGAAGCGGAGGAAGCCGGTGCCGTGCAGCGTAGCGGGGAGCAGCAGCGCAGCAGAGCGGGGTGTCACCGTCCCCCCACCCCAGCAGCGCCACCCGAGGGGTGCAGCACCCAGGGCCAAGCACATCCCTGTCCCCAGCTGGCCCCCAGCACCCCCCGGAAATCTGGGGGACTCCCGAGAGCACCCCCGCCGCTGAACTAGAACCCATTTATCCCCCCAAAAGAGGGGAAAACCTCCCAAAATGTGCTGCCAGGTAGGCTGGTGGAGGCTGGGAGGGTTCAGACCCCACAGGGGTCACCCCACCACCGGGCTGGGCCCGGGGGGCTGCACCCCCAGCGCGGGCGAGGGGAGCGTTAGCGGCGGTTTGGGGGCGCGGGGAGGGTCTGCGGGGTGAGGGAGGGCACGGGACGCCCTGCGCCGGGGCCGGGCAGCTCTACCTGAGAAGAAATGGGCTTTGAAGCCCTTTTTGGAGACTGTGTTGTCGGACTTGAACTCGATCCTCATGTTGTTGTACTGCGAGGTGATCACGTCGGGCTTCTCGGCGCCGCAGAACTTGCCGTGCAGTTTGGAGTCGGCCGTCAGCCCGCTGCGCACCTCCACGAAGTCGTACTTGCACACCTGGGGGGGCACAAAGCCGTGTCTGCACACCCTGGGGGCACAAAACCGTGTCTGCACACCCAGGGAGGGCGGCACAAGTGTGGAACACGGGGCTGGGGACGCTGGGCTGGTCCCCCAGCAGCCTCCGCCGCCGACTCACGTCGTTGCCCTCGGTCTCGAAGAAGTCGAACTGGAGGGAGATGCGGTACTGGGTGGGGGCCACCAGCTGCCAGATGCAGTTCTTGTTGGGGGGGTATTCCTTGGGCCACCCCGGGCTGGTGATGGAGCCGTTGAGCTTGGTGAGGAAACCTCCGCAGGCGGCTGCAGGGCGGGAGGCACCCGGCGCCCGTCACCTCCCCGGGCTCCGCGGGGTTAGGGAGGGGCATCGGGGGGTGTTGGGGTGTTTTGGGGGGGACCCACTCACCCTCGCAGCGGCGCTTGTCGGTTGCCAGCTCGTAGCCAGGGTCACAGGCACACTTGTAGCTGCCCAGGGTGTTGACGCAGCGCTGCTCGCAGCCGCCGTTGTTGGGCCGGGAGCACTCGTCCATCTCTGGGCAGGGCAGGGAGGGATGAGCAGGAAAAGGGGTTGTGACCCCCCTCAGCACCTCCCCCCGGAGCGTCCCCCACACCTTTGAAGAAGTTGACGGCGAAACCCGCCTTGTTGATGGAGCCGTCGGAGACGAATTTCATCCAGAGCTTGTTGGAGGTGCTCTTGATGTCGTCGGGCTTGTCGTAGCCGCAGTAGCGGCCGATGAGGCTGCTCGACTCAGTGCTGCCATCCCGGATCTCCAGGTAGTCGTAGGCACAGCTGTCGTGCCGCTCGATCTGGTGGGAGGGGTGTTGGGTAGGGGAGGGTCTCGGCCCCAGCACGCCCCCGAATCCTCCCTGCTGCCCACGCGCCGAGAGAAGGAGCTGCGTGGGGAAACTGAGGCAGGGAGGCAGCACGGGGGGATGTGGAGCCAGGAAGGGCAGCCCCGAGACCTCCCCGTCCCGGTCTGGGGGGAATGCTGGCTCACCTCGAAGGACTGGAAGGTCAATCCCACGTGGAAGCCCTCGGAGACGGTGATTTTCCAGACGCACACCTTGCTGGGCCGATAGTCGTCAGGGTAGTTGGGGGACTGGATGTGCCCGTTGTCCTTCTTCACGTCCCCCCCACAGATGGCTGGAAGGGAGGAGCAGCGGCCTGAGCCCCCCCTCGGCCCCCCCACTGACCCCCTGGGCCCCCCTGCTCCCCCCTACCTTCGTAGACAGCGAAGAATCCTTTTCCCACCCAGTTGCTGCTGCTCCGGAACTCGACCCAGAGGCGGCTGTCAGTGGAGATGATGGGCTCGGGCAGCTTGTTCCCGCAGAACCTGCCTGGGGAGGAAGGCGTGCTGGGCTTCTGCTGGCCAGGAACCCTCCTCTTCCTCCCAACCACCTCCTCTTCCTCTCAGCCATCCCCTCCTGGTGCCCCCTGTGCCCCTTTCCAGCCTAAAGCCAAAGCGCTGCTTCTCCCTCTCCAGCTTTTCTGGCAGTTTCACTTCAACTGGTTGTTCCAGGGCCAGCTGGGATTTGGGGAACATCCAGCTCATGGGGACGGGACCGGGACCTTGGAATCTCCCTGAGGAATATTCAGCTCATGGGGATGGGACTGGGATACTGGAATCTCCCTGGGGAACATCATGGGGATGGGACTGGGATATTGGCAACTCTTGGGAACACGATGGGGACGGGACCGGGATCCTGGAATCTCCTTGGGGAATGTCCAGGTCACAGGGATGGGACTGGGATACTGGCATCTCCCTGGGCAGAGCTGTGCCAGCCAGCTGGATCGCCCAGACTGGTTTCACTGGTGCGGGGCCAAACTGGGAGCTCTGTTCACCCCAGTAACCCCTCTGGGGGTTAGTTCTCCCCACCCCAGGACTCTGGAACATCAGTCAGGCAGGGATAGGGGCCGAGGGGAGCCCCTGGTCCCGGTGCTGGAGCGTTCCCGGTGGGCAGGAGGAGCGGGCAGGAGGCCCCGGGTTGTTACCTCGCAGCGTGGCCTTTCTCCAGAACCCGTCTCTCACCTCCACGTAGTCGTACCAGCACAGCCGGCTTCGGTACAGGTCCAGGGTGGTGAAATTCAGGATGATCTGAGGTTGGGAAGGAGCAGGAAGAGCGTGGGGTGAGCCCACCCCACACACCCCCTCTGCTGGGAGCTGGTGGGAGCCCCCGGACCTGCTCTGCCCGGAGCATCCCGGCCCGCAGAGGGATGCTGGGATTAGGGACACCCAAAAAAAAGGGTGGGAGGTGTGGGGAGGAGGAAGAGGAGGGCTTGGAGGAGGTGGGAGGCGGCACCTTCTCTCCGGGGGTGACGGAGATCCTCCAGACGCAGTGCATGTGGGCAGAGTATCCATTGGGGAATTCCGGGGAGGAGAAGTTGCCCTGGCTGTCCTGGAGTGTCTCCCCGCAGGCTACAAAGGAGAAAAAGTGAAAGTCAGACCCCCCGGGAAGCCCCCCAGCCTCGCTGTGCCCTTTTTCCCATTCAAACTCCCAACCCTGAGGACTCAGAAAACCATCCCCAACATCACCACCTCGCCGGTGCATCCCCGAAACCTCCGGGGCTCCTGGCAGCCCTCCCAGCCCCGTGTTCACCGCCCAGCCGCGGGGCAGGAGCCATCCTGGCCCCCCCTCCGTGTCCCGGCCCGGCTCCACGCCCGGGCTCGGGGCAGTTTTTTCCGCAGGCGCGGCTGGAGCCGGCCCAGCGCTGCCATCTGGGAGCCACATGATGCCGGGGAAGCGGCACACGGAGCTTTGCAGGGGCCAAGGCAGCCTCTCCCCCCACCCCCCGACCTCCCCTCCCGTCGCTGAAAGGTGAAACGGTGCGAAAAAAGGGCCGTTTCAAACCCGGGCTCGCTGCCTTTTTTTCCCCTCCCTCTCCTTTCTTTACAGTGGAAAACAAAAGAGACCCAGAGAGAGCTTTTAGGGGAGGTTTCCTTCTTTTTTTTTTCTTTTCCCTCTTTTCCTCGCTCCAAACTAATCGCTTTTCCTGCTTTCCCCCCCCTCCGAGGGCGGCGGGGCCGTGGGGCCCCCTCACAAAGGCGTCCCTCTTTCACGGGGCTGCTAATTAGCCGCTGGAATTAAAGCCGGGAGCGCGTGCGGGGAGCCAAACTCCTCGCAGATGTGTGTTTTTTTGCCAGCAGCGGCCCCCGGAGCACGTGTCTGTCGCCGGGGGATGACTCGTGCCAGCCCCCTCCCCACCCTGCCCGGGGCGATGCCGCCCGCTCCCGGTGCCCTCAGGGATGGTCCAGTGCGGGGCCAGGCTCATCCCACCGGGATCAACCCGGCACAACCCCCTCATCCCCCTGCTGGGGTGGGATGGAGGAGGGTCTCCGAGGAGGGTTTGCTCTCAGAGGGGTCAGGGGGTGCTCTGCTTTTCAGGGAGGCTCCTAGGGGGATTTTTTGGGGGGAGGGGGAATGCTCTTCCCTTGGAGGATGCTCTTTGTGGAGGGATGGTCTTTGGAGGATTTTTTTGGGGGGGATGGTCTTTGGAGGATTTTTTGGGGGAAGGTGCCCTTTGGAGGATAATTTTTGGGGGGACGCTCTTGGAAGATTCTCTGGGGGAACACTCTTTTCTTGGAGGATGCTCTCGGGAGGGATGCCCTGGGGGGGAGAAGCTCTTCAGAGGATTTTTTGGGGGATGCTCTTGGGGGACGTTCCTGGAGGATTCTCTTCGGGGGGATCACCCTTTGGGGGATTTTTTTTTAGGGGAATACTCTGGGGGGATGCTCTTTGGGGGGATGCTTTTGGAGGACGCTCTTTTGAGGGATGCTCTCAGAGGACAGTCTAGAGGGGATTTTTTGGAGGGATGCTCTTTGAGGGATTCTCGTGGAGGATGCTCTGGGGGAGACGTTCTTTTGAGGATTTTTTGGAGGGATGCTCTTTGAGGGATTCTCGTGGAGGATGCTCTGGGGGGGACATTCTTTTGAGGATTTTTTTTAGAGGGGATGCTCTCTGGGGGATTTTTTTAGGGGAATGCTCTGAGGAGATGCTCTTTTCTCAGAGGAGCAGCAGGAGAGGGCAGCCGAGGACACCTCTGCTCTCATGGGCAGAGCCCCGGGGCTCACCGAGCTCTTGCATCCAAATTCTACTCACAAACCCCCAAAAAGTGCCACGGATGGCAAAAGGCACCTTGTGTGCTCCTCACAGGGCAGGGAAGACCCCAAAAATCGACTGGAAGCAGAGAATCCACCCAGGCCGACGCTGCCTTTGATGAGTTTTGGGGTGAAGTTTCCCGAGAGATACATCCCCGGGCGTGCTCCCCCCTGGCAGTGACAGGGCAGGGGACACTCCCCCAGGCAGGGGACGGTCACCTGGGCAGGGGTCACTCACCTGGGCAGCGGTAGAGCTTGCGGGCCTGGGCGATG